CACAGATAATGTGAGCAAGCCTTTTGCGCGTGCTAATTGCTTAATACAAAATGTTATTTGCTTGATACAAATGAGGCATTTTGCAGGGAATTCTACGAAGGGAAACGTAAAAAGCACGAGGTGCTCAAACCGGAGGGCGAAGCTAAAATTGAGTGATTTCCTTAGTAACCTGTGACTTCACAAATCTCCCTCTCCCGTGCCTTCTCAGTTAAACACTCGGATGTCAGGTGTCCTTTTTTGTCGTTCTGTACCATTTCTGATATTTAGATGCTTGCTTTGAATGTTGCCCCGCTGTGTAAACAGGAGCTGCTGGTATTGAACAAAGTGCTCCCATTTTAGCTCCAGTCCAGGAGTGAGGCAGTGCAGTGCTGGCAGACGCCATTTTAAGAACCCTGCATAAATAGCATAGCTACCGATGAGTAAGAGACTGTTATAGGTGAGTGCTTATACAAAGCTGCTATTTATTCAGCAATGGCATGCTAGTATTTTTTTTTTTTAACTTTTTTTTTCTTCCTTTTTTTTTTTTTTAATTTTTTATTGAATGCAAGTTTTTGGAAATCATTAGTTAGAATTGCTGCTCACAGATGTGATGTAGGAGAGGCAGGAATTATCTTAAGGCTGAAATTCAGTTTTTAGTGCTTATGGTCTTAAATCAGTGGGTTTTTTGTTTGTTTTCTGTTAATTAAAAGGAAATTAATTCCAGAAATACGTAGTTCTTGATTTGGAATTAATGTGTTATTCCCTGATGTAAATCTAGATTGTGTATGTGGGCATTAGCTGTTTCGAGTGGTTTTCCATATCTCTCAGTTTTTCTTGGTTAAATGTCAAGGTGCAGTAGTTCATCTGCAACTTCTAATTGCTCTTCATAGTTAATATAGGTTAGAGCAGGTTTAAATATTCTTGTATATGGACATTTTTCAGGTAAGTACTACTGTTAGTAAAGGACTGATTTTCCTAAACAGAGAAACCAGTATTTTATTTTGTGGTGTGAAATTTGAGAAACTGAATTTTATATAAAAAAAACTCACCCTCTCTTCAGTTTAGTAGAGAACATGTTTAAAAGTTAGGCAGTAAGTTATTTTTCCATTTTTACCTAAGTATCAATAAGTCTTGTATGTTTGCAATCCTAATTTTTTTTTTTTTTTCTTTCTGTGCCCAACTCTCCCCAAAGGAATAACCTCCACCCCTTCTACCCTCCTTCAGACATGCTAAACTAATTTGTATGGAACAAATCAGTTTAACATTGTAGAAAACAATTTTGTTGCTGTTGTAAGTTTTGTCAGTATGAGTAGGGAAGTTTTAAATGATTAATTGGTGTTCTGTTCATCTGACAGGAAAACTGGCAAAGCTTAAATTTCAGTTGTGCTCTTAAAACACGTTTCTCTGTGTTCGTTCACCTTAATGAGGAATTAAGAGCAGCTTTCAGAATGACTTCAGGAATTTATTGTATTCATCTGGGTACTTAGTTGAGTATATTCCAATATCATTTCTGGTCTGCAGCCTCAGACCATCGCATTCATACTTGCATGACAGTAATGCATGCTGGCTGAAATAACTGCTCTGAGCCCTGCAAAAATGAATTCTCAAAATAAAACTCTCCAGAATAGCCTACTTGATCACACAGTTGCTGTTTCCATAGAGCCATATGTTTGCTCATAATTATTTTGCTGCTGGTCCTAATTTTCCTTTTATTTTGTTGTGGGTAACAGTAAGGTACCTCTGATTAAGGACCTGTTTTTTTCTGGAATTATTTAATAGGAAATCTCTTGCTAACGAAACATCTGCATTTGGAAGTTTGTGCTTTATAAGGTGCAAAGGTCAGCTTTACAGGAGTTACTGTAAACTTGCTGTGAATTGTTATAATGTATTTACAGACTTGAGTGTCAAAGATGATCTTGTTTCATTTGCTGCGATGTACAATGACTTGCTCAGGTGACGTTGTTTGAATGGTGGCAGTGGTGACTGTAGTGGTCAGACCTTGGGGAAGGCCATCTTCAGGCATCTTGTCTGTGATGTTTGCATCCCTCCCCACGGCAGGGGAGATGGGACTGGGTGACCTTTAAGGTCCCTTCCAGCCCAAACCGTTCTATTGTTCTGTGATTCACTGTATCAGGGATGTGGTTCAGATACTTTGTTCATCTTGGAACTCTTCATGAGGAATCTTTTTCTTGCCTCTGTAGATCTATTGCGAGAACACTCGGAATGGTGATGGCTCGGGTTCCTGGATTAGGCTCGTTATGTGGGGACAGACAGATTTAGAGCTGAAAACCCCTCCTGTGTTGTAACTAATCCATAGGATCCTGCCCTGGAACCCCCTGAAGGGCTGGGTTTGGGCCCAGGGCACAGAACATCCTCAGTCAGCCTGTAAGTTCCCCTGGTACTTTGGTCAGGGAAGCAGGAACAGTTCCTGCTCTGGTGTTGCTGTATTGATCCATCACTCCCATTTCTCATCCAGGGTTCTGCACAACTCTGTATTTTAATACTGACTTGGAGCAACTACTGCATCTTTGTTGTTGTATCATGTTCCCCTGAGGTTGTGATTTGAACAAAATGCACTTGATGGATTTGGATGAGTCTGGAATAAGATGATTGCTTTAATGTAACTTAAATGTCAGCTGCTGCTAAAAGGATGTTGCCCTTTTCCCTCATCCTCATGTGTGGTACTCTCCTATTTTCCACATGTCCAGCTGCCCAGTGACCTCCATCACAGAACTGACTCAGTTAAAATAGATGTGATTTCTTGGAACATGAAGTTAATGGTTGGGGAAACCATTCCTTTTAGTAGCAGCCTGTGTAAAATGATCTTGAGTCTTTGACTTGAGTCTTGTAAAGACTCGTGTGTCCTAGTCTGGGTCTGAAACTGGATCTGTATTTTAGAAGCAGGTAATGTGCACTGCCAAATTACTTCTCTCCTGACAGAGTTCCTGTGTGTGATTGCATGTTTGCCTGTATGCATTAATGATCAGATACACATGATGTTATAAAAATGGGGGGTTTGTTACAGTTTGGTGATATTGAAATAGGATTTTATAAAGAGGGAGGGGAAGAAAAAAAAAAAAGCAATGCAGCGTTGGGAGAGAACAATGAACCCATCCCATGAGCCCATCCCTTCCCATTGCTTAGGAGAGGAACGGGCAGAGGCAAGTGGTGCATGAAATGTTTTGGTGTCTGTAGCCCTCTGCCAGCTCTTCTTTGCTGGAGGCCCCTGGGAAAGGGTGTAACGAATGTGCAGGATAATTGATCTGCCCATGCATAGTAAATGGGTGAGCATTGCAGGATGGTCAGCTATGTTGTGCATTTAATCTGCCCATGCGAAATAAATCTGAGAAGCATTGTGCTACAGTCAACTGTGCTACACTTTTACCCTGATTTTAGTCCTATGGCTGCCTTTCCTTGCTCCTGAAAGGATCAGAATAGTCCGTGAGATGGACCATGAGGTGGATGCTGGTAGAACAGAACCTCCCTTCAGTGTTCTGTGACTTTGTAAATTATTTCCCTGTACAAATGACAAGTGGAGAATTATGATTTCTGGAATTCATGGATCTTCTCAGCTTTGGGGTTTTCATACATTGATCTTGGTTAATTTATATTTAAATTTTTTGCTGACATAACTGTATTGTTTTAGAAGTGTGCAAGGAAGTGCTAATAGTTAATTAAAAGTAGTTTTGTCAAAGACCAGACTGAAAAGTCCTTCTGCTGTTAAGTTTTACTTTGTTTAGGAATATCTTTTAACTTATACCCCTAACACAACTCCTGCTAATATAAACTGTTTGTCAGGCTAAAGAGTTTCTCTGATGTAAACGTAACCAAGTCCTCACTGTTGTTTCCGAGCTCCGATGAGCAGTTTCAGGCACACTTATGCACAGTGGCTAAAGCCAAGGTCCCTGGCTGTCCTCTTGGCCTCTGTCCCTAGAGCTGGGATGGCTGAATGGAACCTCAGTCCACTCCACAGCAGCAGGAATTGATAACCTGCCATGTCAGTGCAAAAGGGGCAGCAACTTCCATGAGCAGACTGAGCAGTAAGTTGTCACTGTAGAGGAGAGGATCTGCATCCCCCATGGCTGTTGTGCTCTGGTGGACACTGTGATAACTGCTTGAGGCACCAGAACCTCGTTTGTGTATCATTTTGAATTTGGGTTTGCTTCAACATTGTATGCTTGCTTTTACCTCACATCTGCCATAGCCAGATCTCCAAAACGGGTGTGTAAATCAATCTTCATTCTAACTCATTTTTCCTCTCCTTTCCACCTTCTTTCCCCAAAGGGACTTAAGTAGTCAAATTCGTTGAGTTGCCTCCTTATGTGGCATCACTCTGAAAGCAGAATATCAGAATGTAGTTTGTAATAATTCAATCCTCCCTGCAGCAAATGAAAACTGAGTATGTTAACATTGAGTGGTAACAACTCTGTACTATTTACTCTTTATTATGGTTAATGCTTGGTGGAATTGTATTGCCAATAAATTATAAATATTCAGTTTGCTGTTATGTGGTCTAGTTTCAAAATCCTTAACATTATTTATGTAATAGCTTTCAAAGTTGCACTTTAGCTTCTAATTTTGCAAGTTGCTCTGTGTTGCTAAGTCTTGTTACTTCAGCTAATCTGTTCACGAATGCTGATGAACATTTAAATGTTGGCAGGCATCTGTCCACACAGTTTATCCTGGGTTAGGAGCTCCAGGGAACAGAATTCCTGTTGTTCTGTCACACACATGCAATTTATACACGCAGTGCCATAATCTTCACCACATGTTACAGGACTGTCGTTGGTATGAAAATGTGACTTTTGTGATTGGTAACTTGCAGTTACATACGTGTACCTGGGTTGTTTCTCAACGTGTGTTGATCAGTGTATGCTTTGGCAAACAGCAGGCCTTTCATTTCATCAGAAATTTTAATATAGTTGTGCTTGACGGTGTTATGTTGACCCTCGTGGATGGAAGTTAGGCATGAGAACAGTACAGTCTCTGAGTATTCTAATTCACCTTTTTGAATCCTGCAGCTTGGCTGAAGAGGAAATAAAGGCAGAGCAGGAGGTGGTGGAGGGGATGGACATCTCCACTCGATCCAAAGGTGAGTAAGAGGAGTATTTCATCTTGGTTCTACACCACAGCTGGTTGTAAACCGGGATACTGAGACTGTGTCGTGAAGCTGCTCTTGAGTGAAGGCTCAAGATTCATTGCATTTTTTACAATGATAAGTGTTTCAATTTTTGCTTGGTTTTCATTAAATATCAAACCTACACACACACACATATTTCAGTGTTATTTCAGATTTATGAATAACTAAGGTTAAACTATGAAAAACCATCAACCTCTTGTATTATCTCACTTATCATGGCTTCCTTTAAAGTACTTGTAGATTTGCTATGTAGGAGAAAATAGTGCTGGTAGTAGCAACAGCAAAAATAATAAGGTAGTATTTCCTACAGTAAAGAATCTTATTTTTTTCTAAGAATAAATAACCACAGTAGCATTTCTGTTTGCACAGAAGCTGGTCCCCTGAGCAGTATGTATTTCATGGGCATTCATGTGTCCATTCCTGACATGAATTAAACGTGGTGGAATTGCAGGTGTCTGAGAATTTCTGTCCTGGTTTCTGGTGCTTTTCCTGTGAATGAGTTACTACAGGCAAATGAAGTTTTACCTCTTGGTATAAAGAAAGCTAAATTTGTAACCATCTATGTGAGTGTCAATATTCCCACTGTCATTTGGAGTGGGGGGACAGAAAAGTCCTTCAGTCAGAATACTCACATGGAATTGTTTATTCCAGTTCACTGTAATTCACTGCCAGCTGCCTGCCCATCTCCTTCAGTACTTTGCAGCTGAGTTTACCTGGAAACCATTTCCGTAAAATAGCAGCAATAGCTACAACCGTCCTTTTAAAATTCTTGCAATACCCACTTACTGCTTTTCTACAACGGGGGTCATAAGTCAACGAAACGTGCAGATGGAATTGTCTTGAAAGGGTGGCACAGATCATCTGCATTCGTGGTTAAATTACATGAAGAATAATAATAAGATAAATCATATTTATTAAAGTAGATATGGATTTGCTTTAGTTGATTTGTTAAGTTTGGCATGTGTGTTGATAAAACCCTTACCAGCACCGTTCTAAGGACAAGAATAACAACCACCCACCCCAAGCCCTTACAGCTTTCTATTTTTTTTTCAGTGAAGAGTGTGGGTTGTAAAGAAATCTTGAGACTTGCCTGTAAGCCATCTTACTTTGTTGTGTACCCAGCCTAACCTGTGAATTAGTGGTAGAACTATAACAGTTTTTCACAGAAAGTAAAAGAACTATAAATGTCATCTCCAAGAGCTGGCCTGGTATGATGAATCTTCCTGGACTCCTGTTATATGACTGAGACAAGTTCCTCTGTCAGTTCAGTGCAGTGTTTCTGCAGCAGAGAAGTTACAATGCAGAATTTTAAAACTTATTATACTCTGTGTTAGGCAGAAAAAAAAAAAACACAGAAAAGTTCTGAACTAGTGGATAGTGGCAGCAGTGTCTGCACTTGTAGCAATTCTCTTGTGCAGAGTTTTGCCTTGTGTGTTTGAGAAAGGATGTGGATGAGGAAGTTGACCCTACATGGACAACCCTGAAGGGGAGCACACAGCTCTCTGTGCTTTGTTTGTTTCTTTTTGATGGTGTGAGAAGCCTGTGCAGGAGATCAATCCCTGTTATTGTGTAACTTCACACTTGGCCTAGAGAAGCGGATGTGCTGCAAGTCTGTAACCCGACTTGCCCTGCTCCTGTTCCTGCAGCTCATTTGAGGCTGCGTCCAAAGAAAGTTGTAGGAAAAGAAATTTAATTGCTTTAAAACCAATTAGCCTGCTGCAGACCTCTTCGTGAGCGTTCTTGTTTTGGCACAAGCAGTTTAATTGCTCTAAATCGATTCCAGTTGAGTTTTGGGCTAAACCAAACCGTGCGTTGTTTAATCTGTGACACGGGTGTTAACACAGCCTTTGAACGGCTCTCTAAGTGACGTGGTGGTTTCAAAGCAGCCTAAGCTGGTCAAGCTGCTCGGTGCAGCAGTTTTTGTCCACTTCCTTCCATACCTAAGCTGGCAGGAAACTCACTGAACCATAGAACATGAACAGTTTTCTGCTGGCTTAGTGTGCCAGAACTGGTCTAAGAGAGAGGGCAGGAACACACCAGGTGGGTGCAGGAAGTGCAGGGCTTTGTTAGCAAGCACTTGGATGGGGTTAGGCTGTCATGAAACCAGAGCTTAAAGCTTGCACTTACTACTTTGTAATGTGAAATACAAGAGTGAGGGCATAGCTGGGGTCAGGGCTGTGCAGCCCTGTGTTTATCTTCAGCTGCGTTTCTCTGCTCTTCTCCTCTCCTCGTCCTTCTGCTGTTGCACAATCAGCTGTATCAAGCAGCTGATCTAGCAGAAAACTGATCATTTTTTGTAGTACCAGTTTTGCCTGAATCATGAACTCATTAACCTCACTAATACACGGAAGTGCCTGTCTGCAAAAAGTGATGGGGACAGATGAGGGGGGGAAAGGGAAGAGGAGTGGAGTTATCGTAGCAGTTATAATTTAGATCTGCTTATAAGCTGTGCATGTGCAGCTTTGCTAAAGGCAAGGTTTTAAAATGCTCTTCTCTCTTGATGAGAATAAGAAGGTGCAAGGCATCTGAGAACTGGAACTGGGAAACAACAGCTTAAAGAGAATGCAGAGTCCAAAAACATGAAATGGAGCCAAGAGAGTTGTTGTTTGATGAAGGAGAAGTGCCGTGGATTAGAATATTATTATATTTTGTCCTCTGAGTATGATACATTAACATCTTGCTGTATTTCTGTTCCAGCCCTGTGGACTACTTTTTAACCTTGTTTATTAAATATTTCAAGATGGGGCTTGCAGGGTTTCTGGATAAATGCCTAAGCATTTCCAGGTTGTGGTTCCAGAGCAGAATAACGAACATAATTGTTTGGTGCAGTTCTGCCTCCACTTGTACCCGTTCTCTTTGGGCAGAATGAACTCTCCACTGGGCTGTGACTTCCATGTAGGTTTTCATGCATTTCAGCCTAGTACTGGAACATCCTCTGTTTAGTGCCCAGTCAGAAGGAGCTTTTTGACTCTCTTCTGCCCATCATCAGTCACACATCTCTTACATTGCCTTTACATCTCTGCTGCCTCTTAGCCAGTCCTCTTCTCAGTCAGGTAAGGACTTGGATGTAGAGGTGGTTTTCTACCTACTTATGTCCCTGAACCTGATTACTGGGGAGTTGAACAGATGTTGGACATGGCTGGGACAGCTGGTTTAGATGATCTTAGCTTGGCATAAAATCATCTGCTGGCTGATGGTGAGGACTGTGACTTTTACAGCTTCCTCACTGCAGCAGGTTGGTGTTGAATGCTTTGGTCCTAGGGGCTCCCCTCACTGGCAGCAATTCCCCCACATCCAGGCTCCAGCTTATCCACACCTCACAGCTCCTTACCTTGCAAAGTTGTTGGAAAACGTTTCTTTCTCACCTTCCAAAGCCCTACAGTAACGAGTAACAGTGTCTTTTTATACTCGTGTAAAACTGTAACGTAGCAGGAGTTCACAGAATTTACACAACCATGGCTGACCTCTGCTTATTTATTCCATTGAGCAACTGGATTGGGTTAATTACCTTGGGTGATGTTTCTGGAATGTAAACAGGGCTTTAGTGGTTGATTGCAGTTGCATCATGTTTCAGAATTCTGGCAGAAGATTGAAATGGCTCAAAGTTGAGTGAAAGTTCTGAAAGATTTATCCATGATTTTGGTAGGTGTTTTGAAGATAATTAACCTTGCTGTAGTATAGGTAATGGATTTGAAAAATCGTTAAGCCTATTCATGACCATTCAGGAAAATAAATTTAACTGGGAGGCTTCACAATTCAGGAATTCATATCAATTATTAACTGAAACCTGCTGTCAGATTAAACTGGAGTTAGTACTGCTACGTTTTCTTGCAGATTTCTTCACTGATTACTCTCCATACCATTTTAAAGTACAGGCATTCAGAGATTTTGAAAAGGGGGAAAGAAGAGAGGAGTGACAGTCTGGGTTAGAAGTCAGTTTTCTGGTTTCATTCTTGTTCCTTCTGAAGGCATAGATACACATTTCTGGGGGGTAGTGACAGCTTAAGAAGTCTTCAGTCACCTTTGTTTTCTTGTACCTTCTCTCACATTACCTTCTTTTTTAAGCCAGCCCAGCTGTTTCTTACAGCCATCAAATGAATTCTTCATGAAAGTCTGTTCATTAAATTTTCGTTCTTTTGTTCTGTTGTATTTCATCAAATTTAATTCCTTGATTTGGTTCACCAAATGTTGGCAGAACTCTGGGTGTCATAATAAAAGGCATAATGTGGCATTAGGGAATTAATGTTAACAGAAGTAGCCTTGGGCTGGCTCTGTTTAAATGACACTTCTGCTGAGTGTTTGACTTATATTGAGCAGTTGACTGTGTTTCTAGTTGAAAACATTATTAATAATTTTGCATGTTTGACCCACTTGCATCAAGATATCAAAAACCTACTTACCGAAAATTCACTGGTGTAACTCTGTCTCAGTTTACTGATATCTCCTGGGAGACTAAAATAATGCTGAGAAAATACATTGCTTTTGCTGGCTCCTGGAAAACCAAAATGACTGCCAATCTTTCCATCTTTGTCACTAATCATATTGGAAAGCTTTTTTCATTTTCTTTTTGTTATTGTTTAAACAAATGTGTTTCTGAAAATGGCCAGAACAGAAAAGTTCTGCTCCACGAGCAGCAACCAGCTCATTTTTCGTAGAATTTGTGTCTAAAACAGATGAAAATTAAGTACAGAATTTGAATAACTAATACTAATGAAAGTGTAGGAAACCTAATGTAGTTAAGACAGTTTTTTGATTGTCTGTATTTTATTTTGAAATGCAAACATTTACTTCCCATCCACCAGGTATACCCTGTCCCAAAGAAGGGTAATTCTTTTGCTGACAGTAAAAGCTTTTATCCTGCAATTTCCACACTTTAGGGGAAGGCTTTTATTTTGAGTGTCTTAACTTTTTGTGAGGTTGAATTTTAAAATCGTGGTGTACTGTAATTCTGATTTACTTGTTTGCCTTGCTATCCACTGTTGAGGATACAACACCAAGGCAACGTGTTGTGATCCAAGTCAGACCTGCCACGCTGGCAATCTTCCTTCCTGTCAGCCACATTTCCATCCTCTCCCTTTGTTCTGGCAACTTTCAGCTTTGGGACTTGTTGCTGTGCTCATCCAGCTGAAATCAATTTTTAAGTGTTTATTTATTTATTTCTTTAGCCCATATCAGTTTTCCAAACCGTCTTGCTTCCTGGGTGAACAAACAACAGTGCTAGAGAAACGATTTGTTCCCTTTTTCTCTCTGTGGGAGGGGTGCTGGGAAGCCTTAACTTAGATCTTACTGGTAGAGAAACTAATGCAAATATAAGAGGTGCCTAGAAATACATATGTAGACATGATTTCGGTATGGTTTTAGTCTGGAATTGCTTTGATTGTATTTAGCATAAGTTTTTAAATTAGAAAAAAAAAAAGGTGTATGGAAAGAAAGAAAGAAGAGACATCACTGTCAATTAGCAGTTTATGCTGTGTTCTGACAGTAAGGCATGTTGATGTTGCTTGTTTTCAAGAAGAATTACGTTTGAGCATCACAGGAAAAGCAAGGGAAACAACATCCTACTTTTAGACATTTTCTGAGCTGGCACCTCCTTCCATTGAGAAAAACGAGACTTCTCAGTGAGTTGTCAGGAATCGCTGCTGTGAAGTGTTCACAGTGCAGCGCTTGGCAATGTTTAGAGCATAAAAAGGTCTGGTTGTGGTCTGTGCTCCATATGCTGCAGCCAGATAAGATCCCTGATATAAATAATATAGTTTTGTTTGGGGTTTTTTTTTTTTGTAGTTTTTCCCAAGATAAAATGTATTAAACCATTATCGTGGTTATCTGCTTGAAAACTGCATTGCCATCACATAAAACTGTCCCTCTAAAATCATCCTAAAGTGTGAAATTAAGTTGCTTTAGGGTTTAAGTATGCTTTAGTCTGTCTCCTGGGAGCACTAGTTACTAATGCTTTAATCACATGTTGGCACACTAAAACAAAGATTTTTAATTTTCAGGTGAAGCTCAGGTGAGCTTGTTGTTCCCCAGTGGGTGGTTTGCAAGAGCACTCATAGGTGCTTGGTGACAACCTTGGTAACATCACAGACCAATTAATACCAACCTTGTGATGTCAAACTAGGTATCCTTTAGTGAGGGTTTAAAAATTTATCTCAGGTGTCTATTTCTTCTCTTAAGCTGGAAGCACAATTTTGAAATGGTGCTAAGAAAGCAAAAATCACACAGGAAATCAAGAAATAAGAAGACTAAGCTTGCTGGGCCAACTTAATTTTTTAGTAAATTTGGCGAATTAATTTGGCAAGTGAATTTGTGAGTGCAAGTGGTTTATCAATGGAATGTTAATTTATTCTGCTGCATTTAGTACACAGAACGTTTCATTACTTATTAACTGAGTGCTGAGCAACTGCTCGTGATCTCAGCCTTCTCAGTTGGAAAGTTGTGGGGGTGCACAAATTAATGCTTTTCTGAGGCTTGGTTCAGGTTGAGGTGCTGAGGATGTGAAAGGAGTTCAGAAGGAGCAGGGAGATGGCAGGAGTATGTGCCAGCTGGTGACAATCTGACATGATGGGATATTTCCTAAAGTGAGACCGTTCTTGCTCATCAAACACTTTAAATAAAAAATATTTGCTTGTCGTAGAAGAGATCACACAAATTATTGCTGCTCCTTTCTGGTGCAGAAACTGGAATCCAGCTCTGAGGTAATGGAGTCACCAAGTTATTGCAGAGTTTAAATCAGAACAAAAGAGACCAGTCCTCTCAGATTAGTTTCACTTCCTTCAAGTAACACAACACCAGGAAAATGATTCAGGTTAAAAAGTAACTTTTCTCCTTGTTTTAACAGGAATCAGGTTCTTGATCTGGTTCACAGCTCAGCCACTCAAACTCTACTCACACAGCTGCAAGAGCCAGGGAGGGAGAAGAAATGTTGAAAGAAATTCACACAAAATGCAACTTTAGCTTTCTTTTAATCTTGGTTGCAATTGGAAGATATAGCTCAAAAGATTTAAGTAGGTGCTGCCATTCTTTTGTTACTTAAACTGAATTAAAAGATTGTTCATGTTATTAGGTCCCTCACAGATTGGTAAATTGGCAACACACCGTGATAGTTAAAGACATGGGTCTGTTCCATTAGCATGACTAAATCTGAAAGAAGATGCCTGTGCATTGCTGTTTTCCTGTCTATTCCTTGATTTTTCCAGTTACATCTTACATTGCCTCAAGGAAATGACTTGCTAGTTGCAAAAAAAAAAAAAAAAAGAAGTTTATTTCAGGTCAGTTTTTGTATGTTGTCTATGAGTCACCACTTGTTTATTTGAGAATCCCTTGTATGCTCAGGCTTCTTGAACCACGGAGGAGAATTACACTGCTTAAAGTAGATTTTCAAATCACTTACCCAGGCATCTTTGTTTGTGTAACCATTTCATAGGGTCAGTATTGAATCAGCACCTTTTCTGCTGAAGTGTAGATTGGATTTGACTGTGACTGAATTGTAATTCAGTTCTGGTTTAGCTAATACCAGTTTAACCCTTTTCCTGACCTTGAATCAGTTAATTTAGGAAGAAACAGCATTTAAAAATGAAAAGCATTACATCATGGGGGGGCAGGAACTTTACAGCTGATTTTCTTTTTCATACTTGAAGCTGAGTCACAATGTGCAGAGTCACAGTCAGCTTCTTGGTAATCCCCACAATCTGAGGCTGAGGAGCTGAAAGGAAACTCTTGTGCTTCACTGGTGGCAGTTTTGTGCCTGGATGTAAGAAATGGAAACCAAAGGGCAGAAAACTATGCTGGTTTAAGCAGTCCCTGCATAGGTACAGTCAGGGAATAAAAGCTGAGTCTCTTGAGGGAGTTACAGTAATGGCTTTATTTGCTGGTGAGAAACTCTGGCTCAGATATCCTTGCAAGTCCTTTGGGGATGTTGTTTGCTGTAGAGAGAGACAATTCTCTCATCTCCCTGCACTGAGAAAACAAGAGTAAGGCATGATCAGCACTTGACAGTGAGAGTAGTTTCCTTAAGACTGTCTTTAGTTATGTGTGGAAAGGCTCTGTTGGGAACTGCAAATTATAATAAAGAAACAAAGACTTAATGTGGTGACGGGAAGATGAGAAAAGGTACGGTGTGATGCTGGTTTTGCAGATCACTGGGTGCAAACAGTTGCCATGCTGAATAAGCTCTGTTCTACTTTCATGAGGAAAAAAAAAAAATAGAATTCAGAGCTTTTTTTGGTTTTAGGTTTGATCACTTCGGTTTAGCTGTGGGCTTTGGTTCAGCTGACACTGATGCTGCAGCATTTCTTCCAGCACAGCTGGATTGGCGAAGCTCCCTTGGGATATGGGAAGCAAATCCCAGCCCAAGGAGTTCTTCTGCCACCTTCTGTGCACAATCAGCTAAACTGACAAACCCACTGAGCCTCCTCCTCCTGTCAGCAGAGTTGTACCGTGGTAGGATTTTTACTGTCATAATTGCTCAAGGAGGGGAGGAAGCAGACACACATACAGGTGACATCCCTTATCTGGCAGTTCTCTGGAATGTCAAATCAATCCAAATTTTGGGCTAAACGGAGTGGCAGGCAGGTTTGCTTGATTCAAAACACATCGAGTAGCAATCGTGGCCTCAGACACATCGTATTGATTGAATCCAGCCGAGGCGTGTCAGGAGATAACTGGTCAGGAGATAACTGGTCCTAAGTGCTGCCTACAAGTGTGAAAGGGGAGTGGTCTGTGGGGAGGAAAAAAAGTCCCGTCCTAGTGTCAGAACTCAAAACATGAACATTTTTTGTTTGTTTCTTTAAACCAGCTTAACTGTGTTTTGCCAAAGGTTTGCCCCTCATGTCAACATAAAAGTTTCCCTGCGAGCTGACACCAGGTTTGTGCTGGGCAGCACTGCTGTGCCTACGGAACTGGTGGCAGGCACTTCTCCTGCAGTTGTTGCAATGACTTGTGCTGTTAGCCTGGTGCAGCTGTTCCAGGTTCTGAGTTTTTTTGTTTTCCTGTGCACTTCTGTGTGTTGGGGATGGTTCAGTTATTTCTCTGTGACGTGGGTGACTTCTGATCCTTACGGTTTTGACCGTGGTTCTGTTTGTTGCATGCATTAAAAGCTTAGGGAAAAATTAAACATGTTAAACCAACTCTGATGAATTTCCACTTTTATTTTGCCAAGATCATGTCACTGCTCTATGGGTGTCCGTTACAGCTCATTACACACCTGTTTCTTTTGAAAACTATCAGTAGGTTCTTTATAATTGAGCTGAGCATTAGAAATCATTTAAATTTTGTTGAGAGAACGTTCTTAACTTTAAAAAGATGAATTTAAAATCTTTGCACGGCGTGGATGACAAACCATAACCTTGTTGGGATGTTCTGCACTCTTTAACTGTGTTCTTTGCATCTGTTGTAGATCCTGGCTCTGCTGAACGCACAGCACAAAAAAGGAAATTTCCCAGCCCTCCACATTCCTCTAATGGCCACTCACCACAAGATGCATCAACAAGTCCTATAAAAAAGAAAAAGAAACCTGGTCTATTGAACAGTAATAATAAAGAGCAGGTAAGAGAAGTCATGGTTTTGTTATGCTGGAATATGAAACAGTAAAGGATGTAGGGGCCGCTGATCAGGAGCTCACTCCTCTTTAGGAAGCTCCGTTCTTGTACTCTTAAGAAGTTGGTTATTAATTTTTTACTGCAATGGGGGTAGGAATTGACATTATCATTTGGGTTTGAAGGCTCTTTTATTATTGTTGAGGAAGACCACCTATGTCCTGCTTACTGATTTCACAAAGCTACCAAGATGTATAATCAATAAATGTAATTTTGAACAGAATTATTATGAAGAAATGTAAAAACAATTAAAAAACCAACAATAGCTGTTATAAGATAAAACCATTAAAAGGAAATGCTCAGTGGTGTGATATCTAAGATGAGAAAGATCTCATAATGCCAGTGGAAGTTCTTCATCTGCTTTCAGTCCTGTCCTATTACGAATTATTAACAAAAGTCAACTCCATCCTTGGTTCTCTGCAGATTCCCTCCCCTTCCTTAAAACTTCTGGGCAATGTACACTCCTACCAATAGGAGGTGAATCAATGGGTCACACTGGCTTTTCAGCCTTTGTGCTGGAAAACTCATTTTTGGTGACTTCTGAATACTGAATTGACAGCATTTGTTGTAATCCTTGGAAGAACTTGACTCTGGAAGACTTCAACACTTTCTGGTTCATTGTATGATGCATGTGAAAGAATTTTATGTGTTGAATAGCAAATGCTGTGAAGCATCTGCGTCATCTTAGAGGAGATTACATGAAGGCAGTCTTGAGCCTTGCTGAAATTATTTCATGTCTCATGTAACAATGACATACCCGTGTATTTTCCAAAGTTCTTTTGTGTGTCAGTCACTGGTTGTTTTTTTTTACCAGGAATAATGAACACGGGATTAAGTTTTGAGCATTTAGAAGCACTTTTTCCTGGCATAACAACATCCACATTAGATATTATCCTGGCACAATTGCACTGGTGAAGAAAGGAAATGAAATTCCCAATCACTGCAGTTGTGCTGCAACAATGCCTATGAATAAATCAGGCCTCGAAAACCAGTGTCAACCCTGTTTTATTTCAGGATAACTGGGAGGTCTGACATGTGGAGATGTGCTTGCAAGTTGTGCACTGGGGTCACTTTGGCTTTTGCTGAGCTTCACTTCAGGCTGGATTTATTCCTCTACATCCTCTGGGGAGATGTTGCCCCACTGAAGTCTGAGCTTCTACCTGTGCAGCGTAGAGATAATTTTACAAACAGTGGAATTGAATCCTAGGGTATTAATTTCCACTTTTTCTTCCTGCATTTAGAAATACATGTGAAAACACAGTTGCAGTGGTTGAACGTGGTACATTCCCCTCGGTAAATCCTTTTCTGTTTTCCAGGTATCTCAGACCTGAAATGTACAGGATAGAATAAATAATGAAGAAAAACCAATCAGACTTGCCTAATTTGCTGTGTTTATTACAAGTCAGCAAGAAAATATCATCTGTTTAGTTTCGTTCAGCTTCCACAAGTTGTTTCTCATATTGTCTTGCATGTCAAATTTGAAGTGGGCCTGAAGATTGTTGTGTTTGAAGTAGGTGCAAATTCTGCTCTGTGTGGTAGCAGGAGTTGTTAGAGATCCTTTTGCTGCTGAGCAGATGTGAGTTAAGTTTTGCTCTCAGGTTAAGTTTCAAGTATCATGTAGCTGATAGCTGTGCTTCTGATTGGCTGATCAGTCTGTTTTGAGGTACCACAACATCCCTGGAAACCTCTTTTGAGTCTCTGAACCTTTTTTATTTTTGCTTTGTTTTGTTTCTTAAATTTGGCTTAGGCAAAATAAGGTGATAGATGTCTAAATGGTATAAGCATCCTTGAACAGAAAACTGATTCTTCTCATGCTTCAGCAAAAAAGGACTTCTCTTCAGTTTGGATGTTCTGAGCTGATTTCTGTGGGATAGTTTCACAGGTTTTACGTTTTCCTTAAAGCTGAATCTTTGAATCTTACAAAGTGTGCACATACTACTCATATCTACTTCAAAGTCAGAATATGTATTAAATTCTTCTGGTGATTTCCTTTATCTGCAGTGGAGGAAATGCCCCACAGCTCCATCTTCACGTATACAAGATTGAGATTTTGGTCTCACAGCTGTGGTGCATAAAGCTGCAAACAGAACATGTTTCTGCACTGGAAATTACACTGGAAATTACTGGAAATTCCTTTCCTTACTCTGTGTTTCCTTATGCCTTTGTACCTGTTTGAATGGTTGTAGTAGCAAAACATTGAAATGGAGTTAATCCTTGTGCTGTCCCACTTACTCCTCAAGGTCTCAAAGAACCTTCCTTCTGAAAGTCTTGTCATATTATAGGATTAAATGTGTATATATATATAGAAAGTACAGAAGTGTCATTTTGCTCATTTCTGTGGTGGGAACAAAGTGTCTTTTGAGGCTTTATCACCTGTAGAACAGAAAATGAAAACCACCAAAACTGACAAATTCTTAGGAAATTTTAGATGCCAGAATGTTTACGGATACCATCCTTTCTTTGCCTAAAATATTATGCAGTGTTAGATAACTGCAGATGATACCACTTCTGGGTGTTTTTGGAGTTATAACATCTTCAGTTGGGTTGTCACTTCTACCTTGGAGGTCCTTTATTCATGCAAATAATTAGATCTCATCCTTTCTAACTTCAGAGATCTAAAAACATCATGGTTCAAAGTAGCATGTGGGTTGGTGTTGGTGACATTATTTATGCCCCAGGTGACTGATTCTGTACAGGATGCCCCAGAGGTACAAAATCACACAGGGATGTGACAGCCCAGGGATCTCAGACCTTCCAGATGTGTAAATGTAGGACACATGCAAAACGACCTGAGAACCAAACAAAATGGTTTCGCTGACTACAAGCATTTGGATGCTTGAGTGATGTCATGAGCACGTGGTTTTTACATCAGACAAACTGCCTAAAATCTCAAGATTGTTTCCCCCTGTGCCCTCCTCAGCAATTAATTAATACCAAACAGAGAACTGAAGTTCCCTTATCGTTAATAAATAGAATGGAGTTTCCCAATAAATGTTAGCAGCTCTTCAAAGCTGATATAATAAACTTTAGGTATCTGTGGACCCCCTTAAGCCCTCCCAGGCTCTTCACTTCTTGTGCTCTGGCATCAGCTGTGTCGTCTCTGAGCTGTCGGGCTCAAGTGGAAGACCAGTTCATGCAGGTTACAAATTTAACGCTGCTTTCTAGTGCAGGCAAAGCAATGGAGATTGTGAGTCTTTAATTTTGATGCGCATTTAGATGACGAATGAAATCCCTCCCGGTGCTCCTGCTCCTGTAGCGGAGGTGGCTGCTCAGGATGTTGTGAATTCGCTCCTTTGTCACCCTTCTCTACAGTTTGCCTTATTAATCAGAATTGGTGCTGGCTTGCTTCATGGTGCAAAAGCTGTGAGCTGCTGCAAACTAGCCCAGATTTGCATGGTGTTCTACTCCTTGTTCCAGGACTAACTTCTTCAGTTGTCCCAGGTTTAGCCACCACTAAATGTCTCAGTATTTAGCTTGCACAGCCCCGTGGAATTCCGAGTTCAGAAGAGCTAATGGCTTCTGTAGCAATAATTCTTTCTTGAAGCTTCAAGTGTTTGCTCTCTCTTGTTGGATTGCATGTCTTGCACTCGACGCCCTCACTTGCCACGAAAAATTTGTTTCTGGTCTTGAGTGCAAACTGTCATTCGACATCTGAATAAGAAGTAAACTCCTTCATGACTGATTTTGTGCCATGACTAAGATACTGTGCTTTGCATACGTGTTAATCAGACTCTGTTAATTGCTGTTTGCTTATAAATTTATGAATGTTAACGATGCGAAAAAATGCAAATTTGTTTTGAAACCAAACCTGTTTTTCTTGCCTACATTTCAGTCAGAACTAAGACATGGTCCGTTTTACTATATGAAGCAGCCACTCACCACAGACCCTGTTGATGTTGTACCGCAGGATGGACGGAATGATTTCTATTGCTGGGTTTGTCATCGGGAAGGCCAAGTCCTCTGCTGCGAACTCTGTCCTCGGGTTTATCATGCTAAGTGTCTGAAACTGACAGCCGAACCAGAGGGGGATTGGTTTTGCCCAGAGTGTGAGGTCAGTGGGATGGAAGGGGCGCATTTCTTTGTGTGTGCTGAAATGTTTGTACGGGAGAGGCTCTGCTTCACCGCTTGTTCTCCGTGTGTGTGCCTGGGTTGTGTTTGCCTTCTTATCACCACGAGTCTTCAGCCTCTCCTCTGTGTTTCCAGCTCTGGAAAAGCACCATTTCAAAGAGTGGTCCCTTCGTCAGGCACCACTAATTATGAAAAGGTTCTGCAGTTTTCCTCTAGTTTAACTTGTGCTTCTCCTTGGGGGCTGATCAGCTTTTCAGCAGGTGCAGAAAAAAATGCACTGTAGGGTCTACATAAACAAGTGGGTATTTTGTTATTCTTTCTGCTGAGGGGCTAAGGAAGAATTTAATCATTCCTCTCCAAAGATTTCTGGGGAGAGGATACTTAGCACCCAGATATCTATAATGAAAGCAGATTTGTTTATTGCATGGTTTTTTTCTTTTGATCACTTACTATATTAGAGCCCAGGTGACCTTCTCACTTGTCCACATTGCTGTGAACCCACATTGTATTTGGAAATTTTATGTATTCACACCTTTACTTTGTGTGATCCTGAAGATGATAGATAATTTTCTGGTATTTTCCTTTTTTTTTTTTTGGATGAACATACCAAGAACAAAAACCAAGTAAAACAAGCATCTGAAGTACTTACATTGCATCCTCAGAAAGGGCTTTTTCTGGTATAAAACAGCTATTATAGTCCATTTGAATACTAGAATGTTTAAGTGGAGAAGGACTTACCTAGAAATATTTACTGACAAATTTTTTTTTTTTTCAATCTGAACCTGTAGAAAATCACAGTGGCAGAATGCATAGAAACACAGAGTAAAGCAATGACAATGCTCACCATCGAACAGCTATCCTATCTACTGAAGTTTGCACTACAGAAAATGAAACAGCCAGGGGTAAGGAACTTTTTTCTTGTTCCAAATCACCACGCTTCCAAGTTTCAGCTCTTCCAGTCACTCATTCTTGCTTCTAAGTTGTTTCAGCAATTCTGGTCCCTCGTTCTTTGCCACGCAGGCTGTGCCTTGTTTTCACGTGCGAGAAGATAACAGTTAATGGAAATGTGATGAGTTATCTTAACTCCTGTTGCTCTCCCGTGTGTAAGTTAGAGGAGCAGAGAGGGTGTCTCTGTGCCTGCAGTGTTGTAGTCACTGTAGAGCATGTTGGGAAAACCATATGTGCAGAATGATGGGCTCTCTGCATCTCTTATTCTCTGTGACAAGTATTTTAGCATAAGAACAATAGTGACAACTTCTTCCTCTGGGTACTGACAGATTTTGGCTCTTCAAATCCTTTCCCTCTGGAGTGGTAAATACTATCAGATGGAGCCCTTAGAAGCTTTAATGCAGCTTTTCAGTAGCAAAGTGTCAGTGTTTGTTTATATTGAAATCACGAAGTGTTTTGGAAATGTGGTTAGAAAGCTAATGTCTAATGAATGCTATTGAGATGTTTTGCCCTTCAGGCATTTTACTAATAACCTGTTGTGTTGTTATCAAGTCCTTTCATTGGTTTAGTCCAAGAATTGCAGTCCCTCCACTTTGGCAGATAGACTGTGCAGTCCCTCTGAAAAAAGTTTGATTGCCATCATTGGTTTTAAAGTTGTGATTCTAATGAGAGTCAGGAAAAAGTATTTGTGAGTCTTGTGAATTGGAAATACCGTGTCTTTATGCTTCTAAAAATGCTCTGCTGAACCTCATCTAAAACTCCACACAAAAGAAACCCTGACTGCAAATCATAACAGTACCTTTTATGAAACCTCTAATTTTTGCAGTTCATTATGTCCAGCATATGAAAAATCAGTCAAATGAGACCTTTTAGTTCCTGTTGTTCTGCTAATAATTTACCTCCTTACAACATTTTATAATTACCTTTGAAGAATTTTCTCTGATAACGCAGTTGGAAGCAGTGTTAGAAAATGAGTGAGTGTTGTGTCATTGCTGTAACTGTTCCACATCAGTAAGCAGTGTGGTTTATTATTTCCCCTAACAGACAGAGCCATTTCAAAAGCCAGTTTCACTGGATCAACACCCAGATTATGCAGAATATATCTTTCATCCAATGGACCTTTGTACATTAGAGAAGGTTTGTATGACGCTGACAGAGGCAGGTTCCTTGACTCTGATTGCTATTTCTGAAGTGTTCGATGGTGGGGGAGAGAAAGTTGCTTGAAATTATTTTGATGGGGGTTTTTTTGCTACTATAGAAGTCAATTCAGTTACCACTAAATCACATGCCAGCTCAACAGTGACACTGTTTTGTCTGAACTGGTAAATGCTCAGGAAAAACAGTGTGTAAAAGACAAACTTGCACTGCTGACTTCCTCCTGTTAAATTCATCTAATTCCAGGAATGATCTCCAGGAACCAGGGCTTGCATTTGATCATCATGTTTGTAAGCTATTTGTGGATCACTGGTTCATTGATCTGAGACCATTTGGTGTATATCCAGGGGTCATTCCAGACTCATTTTACTGATCATTCAGCAAATACTGTGATCTCCACTGCACTGAGGTGTAAAAGAAAAAAAACAGTCAAGAGGTGGATAATGGGACTTGCATTGTCCAGCCTGGCTTGAACAGTTCCAGGGGTCAGTTTTATTAATTGTATAACTGATAGGAAACAATGTTGAGGAAGAAGCTGCCCCTTTTTACTCATTTCTGTTTCCTGATGTGTTCTTAATTTCTTCTTTACAGAATGTTAAAAAGAAAATGTACGGTTGCACTGAAGCATTTTTGGCTGATGCCAAATGGATTTTGCACAACTGCATTATTTACAATGGGGGTAAGTGTTGATACTTACTTATGTCCTCAAATATGAAACTTTTAAATAAGTAAAGCCATGGAGCCATTTGTAGACTTCTAGTTGGTAAATGCTGAAAGTATCTTTGTTAATGACCATAATTCCTAAACGTAACAGGGTTGTTTTTTTTTTAACAATTTGCATAGATAAAAGTGCAGGGCCAAATACAGCCTGCGCTGTCACTTGCTCATTCCACCTTAGGAAAAAAAAAAAAATCACATAATTTTAAATCATAGAATGGTTTGGGTAGGAACAGACCTTAAAGATCACCTGGTTCCAACCCCAAAGTTGCTGTAGCATTTTGCATTGTGCAGCACTTCATTGAGACCTACCTGAGAAGGTCATTCAGCACATCCCTCACTGAAAGAGTGCCTTGGTGGGGGGGAGGCTGCAATAGACTTTGAAAAGGAGCATTGAAAGATTATTATATTGTTACATTGAGAAGAAAAGTGCTCATGTCCTGCTTTTGCAAGCATATAGTTTACACATAGGTTTTTACATCATTTTTAGATGTTCTCTTCTGTTTTTTTCACTACCTTTTAAATCTGAAAACTGTTGATTTTATCATAATACTATGTACTGATTTCCTAATTAAAGCATTTCATTGTTTCCCCAGGAAATCACAAATTGACACAGACAGCAAAAGTCATCATCAAAATCTGTGAGCATGAGGTATGAGTGCCCCAATTAAACTAAACTGTTCTGTGTTTTTAAAGTGTTCAATCTCATGTATTCTGGAGTGAAATAATATCTGTTTTCTTACCTGTGTGTTGCAGAACTATAATTTTTGTAGGCTTTCTTATCCACGGCCTAGAGAATGGTGTCTGGCAAGGGCATTGTTAATGTGTTTTCCATTAGGATATTAATTATTTATAATTAAAAATTCTGGGAAGGGGAGGGGAGAGAAGACTGGATATATGGATTCTGCACAAAGACAGGATTTGAGATGCTGCAGCAGTGCCCAGCTCAGGGGGATGGTCAGTGCCCTGGTATCCTACTGGCCACAATACTGCTGATGTGCCATTGGCCTTCTTGGCCACCTGGAAATGGTGATTTATACCCACAAATTGGGGGGAAAATGGTGCTTGCAAACTAGACAGGCTAACCTGATAGTACTTGGGACTCTCTTTAATCTCTCCAATAACTTTGCTTTTTGTTTTCAGATGAATGAAATTGAAGTATGTCCGGAATGTTATTTAGCTGCTTGCCAAAAACGAGAAAATTGGTTTTGTGAGCCTTGTGTAAGTTAAGGATTGTGGTAGTATGGCCACTACATTGAACTAGTAGTTCTCATTTCACTGTTACTGTTATCCCCTCTTTGTTTCATCTGGGATAGAGTTCATTTTCTTCTTGGTAGCTGGCACAGGGCTGTGTTTTGGGTTTAGTATGAGAATAATGTTGATAACACACTGATGTTTTGGTTGTTGCTAAGTAGTGCTTACCTAAGTCAAGGACTTTGCAGTGTCTCGTGCTCTGCTATGACACAGACTTACATGAAGATTAAGAGCATTTCAAAGATTGGCCCTAGCCTAACTTACACATTTAGAGGGGGCTAATCAAAAATAAATGAATACAGAAGTGCAATTGCATTGAGTTGAGTTATGTGAGGTTTTATGGTTTGGGCTTTTTTTTTAATATAATTTTAGCATTTTGTCCTCTCAGGATTTATGTATATGTAGTAAAGTGGACTCTTGTATTTGGCAAATGCCTTGAGCATGTTGAATCTTTACTGCACCTAAGTAATGTGTACAATTAAAAGAAAAAATCATGTTTATGACCAGATTTGAAGGTAGTACTGCTTGCATTTTCTGACTGTGTATTTTGCCTCTTCCTCTAGAGCAATCCCCACCCTTTGGTCTGGGCTAAACTCAAAGGCTTTCCATTCTGGCCTGCTAAAGCACTGAGGGATAAAGACGGGCAAGTCGATGCCCGTTTCTTTGGCCAACATGACAGGTGGGAGTTTAACCAAAGGATGCCTTTGGCTGTGCTTAAAAAAATTCCTGTGGTGGTGATTTTGTGCTCTTAAGAGTTTTTTGTCTCCTGTCTTTTGAACCTTGACCCTAACAAACTATGTAATAATGTGACATACACGATTTTAGTTCCTTACATGATGTCTGTAAGATTGGTACGCACACGGTCTGGTGAGTATGCAGGTTAATTCCTGTGTCTGGTGGTGTGCTGTGGAGAACTGTAGGCTCTTAGAAATGATCTGAGGTGTGCATATCTTTGTGATTAGGCTAAAATAAATTAGTATGTGCACAAAAATTGCCAGTGTCAATCCACGGTGTGAAATATAGTTATATTATCTTTTATTTTTCTGTTTTACATATAGGGCCTGGGTTCCAATAAATAATTGCTACCTCATGTCTAAAGAAATTCCTTTTTCTGTGAAAAAGACTAAGAGCATCTTCAATAGTGCAATGCAAGAAATGGAGGTTTATGTTGATAACATTCGTAGAAAATTTGGAGTATTTAATTACGCCCCTTTCCGGACACCATATACTCCCAACAATCAATACCAAATGTTGTTAGACCCTGCCAACCCAACTGCTGGAACTGCAAAGACAGACAAGCAAGAGAAAATCAAACTGAACTTTGACATGACAGCATCACCCAAGATCCTGATGAGCAAGTCTATGCTGAGCAGCAGCACAGGCCGTAGGATTTCACTGACAGATATGCCACGGTCACCAATGAGTACAAACTCGTCCGTTCACACTGGATCTGATGTTGAACAGGATGCAGAGAAAAAAGCAACTTCCAGTCATTTTAGCGCCAGTGAAGAATCCATGGACTTCATTGAGAAAAATACAGGTAAAAAAATAAAACAAGCCACCAAAAATGTGGGGTACAGGACTTTTGTGGTGCACTAGTTCTACTCCGTGTACTCTTAAAAGACAGGCTGCATTATGACTTGGGTTATGAAGAAGTTTTAGAAAAAAAGGTGTTTAACTTCCAGTATTACATCAGTTCTCTCTGTCACGTTGAAAATTAAGTAATAATCTGGAAAAGTGACCAAACCCCTTCAGTTTAAATAGCAGAAAATAGTCATAATTATCAAAATGGAGAGTGGAAGTAAATACAAAAAGAGTTAGAATTGTCATGATTAGGAGGTATTCTAGTTTTAAATCTGTCTTTAATAATTTTGTGCTTTTTTCAGCTTCTCCAGCACCAACGAGAACAGGTCAAGCAGGGAGCTTGTCAGGCAGCCCCAAACCTTTCTCTCCTCAAGCATCAACACCAATTTCTTCTAAGCAAGAAAGAACCTCCACTCCAGGAAGCATTCTGAATCTTAATCTTGGTTAGTCTTGACCTTTGAAAACCTAATACTCTTATAGCTGAACAAATTGTGGTGGTGTCAGTGCAACGTAGTATGAACAAACTTGCTGGTATGTGGCTTTAAATGAACAAAGGTCTTTAAATGAGGCACATCTGTAATTATTGTTTCATCAGATTTGCTGGGGGGTGGTTTTGTTTTGTTTTGTTAAAGAAAGTTTCTGTTATTGTTACTTTGTGTTGATAAGAAGCAGTTAAAGGATGTTTGTGGGGTTTTTTTTGCTGAACTGTACCAATGAATGTTTCTAAACAGTGGGTAAGTTTCTAAAGGTTGTAATTACATGAAAATTGCTGCTCTTCACCCATCAGTCTCTCGGGTGAATTGTTGGCAAAGTTTTCTTATGACCTTTGGGATTTACTAGGTGATATTACCCAGAGAAAACAGGATTCTTCCCCTCAGTATTGGCCAGATATTTCAGGAAGGCTTGGGTGCAAATGCTGAATTGTGTCTTCACTGCCTTACAGATATTCTGATCGTAGGTACAAGTCCACAAGTCTTGTTTTTCAGCACGTTAATCTGTCTGTGTGGACATAATCATAGAATTAATTCCTTCTGCTGCACTGCAGCTGTTTGTCATCTCATCTGGGGTGACACTGCATTTGGGAAAACGTCAGGAATTCTGTAGTGCTGCAGTTGTTTGAGCCACAGGTGGGAGACATCAGCTGGAGCATATAACCTTTTGAGTAAAATGTTATGGTCCATGAGCAATATCATAAAAGAGCTGCTTGAATGCTTTCAAGTAGAGTATCAGTTATGTTTTCAGCTTTGGGGAATTTCCTCTGCTAAGTATACTCTGATGACAGGAGTGAAAATGGCAACCCCTCTCTCTTCATTTGTGTCAGCTGTGCCAGACATGGATTCTTCTGTGAATCTGTAATGATTCTGTGACATAACTTCTTGTCTCTCACTGTCCTGTGTGATGTGAACGTGGTTTCTCTCTGCAAAAACAGAAGTGAAAGTCCAGGAAACAAAGACATTTTGTATCTTGAGCAGAGTGCTAGGAGGACCCTGGGACCCTGCAGTTCAAACTTGTAAAGGATGTCTGCTCAGAGCAATCATTGGCTCAGCCATTCCTGTTCATTTCACTGATTTTGTACATCAACAGAGCGTGTCTTGTAAATATGTATTTTTTTAAACTCAAATAAGGCAATGCTGAGCCACATTTAACTGCTCTGGAATGAAACTTCAAAGCACAAATGCACGTTGTGCCAGTGTTACCTTTTGTCTTCTCCATGGCCTCTGGCCTCTCCCAGCACATGGCACTGGCTCTTTTGATCCTACCACGAGCCAGTTCAAAGAGTTAAACTCGCCAAATGTAATTTTTCTCTCCTTCCCTTCCCCCTTCTTCATGTGCCCTTCCTCTTCCACCAACCAACTCCAGCTGGTTTAGTGCCCTGAGCACTGATGGAGTGTCAGCACTCTTGGCAAAGAGTCCAGGATAGGACTGTGCCACAGGAATACAGTCTCTGAAATGGAAAAATTGAAGCAAAAATGTGAAACATAGTTGCTAAGACAGTTTTAGCTTCAGCACTCTAGTATGTGCTCTTTGCAGACAGTTATGTGTGTTTCAGAGTGAAAATTCTCTACCTGTAGATGAAAACTCAAGATTTTGCTGACATATATGGAAACATGTATTATTTTATCTTTTATTTAATAATCTATCCAGTGTAACGATCCACATTTTTATATGTATTCTCATGACTTAACTTTGGGATTTTAAATGGTGACTGTAAGGATTTTTATTTCTATTTAATTTTCTGTGAGAATACTGCTACTGATGGTAAATAACAGCAGTGGTTTAGTAGGAGCGCTGTCAGACAGCTTACAGACCTGAATGGTGATTTTTTGATAATTTCACATTGATGGGGAAAATGTCCACGTGATTGATGCACACGAAGTATGTCGTGTCAGAGAGGAAGAATCCATGGTTTGCAGTAAGGTCATTTTAGAATTATTATTTAGCCCATAATTTTAAAAGAAGTGAAATACATTTCAGCTCGTCCTCGGTGAAATTTGCCTTATCTGGATGAGTGATCTCTGCTCCTTTTGTCCAAATCCTTTCCTCAGTCTCTGTTTCTCTTTCTAGATCGTAGCAAAGCCGAGATGGATCTGAAGGAGCTGAGCGAGTCGGTGCAGCAGCAGAGCACTCCCGTGCAGCTCATCTCCCCAAAACGGCAGATCCGCAGCAGGTTCCAACTTAACCTGGACAAGACCATAGAGAGCTGCAAAGCACAACTTGGTGAGTGTCCCTCAAGAGCACAGTGGGCAAATGAAGGATGAAAAACCTTAAATTAGGTGTTAAAAGAAGAGAACACAATGTTTGAAATCTTTGAGGCAAGTGGAATGGACTGAACTCGTTTACTTTAAAACACAGTGAGACCTGATGTTTCAAATTTGTGTCAGCAAGCTTTCATCTTTTAATCTGTTTTTGTACCATTCTGATGTAGGTAGTGTGGCAGGATTATAGTCTTACTATTGGCTTTGTAAACTGAAAAAATTGAGGATTGTACCCAAATTCTGTCAGCTGCACAAATTAAATATAAGTCAGTCAGTCATATATATAAGTAAGGATGCAAGGAAGTAAGTATGTATGTCATCAGGTGAATAGTATTAGTGATTTTTAAGCTGGTTTCTTGAGGATAAAAAATAAGTCCTCTTTGTATTTGCCAGCATTGGGTCCTGAGTTGAACAGAAGAGCTTGCAGGTGGTGGAAAAAAAGCAGTGAACAGAGGGCTGTTGAATGAAATACAAATCTTAATTGGAGTATGTGGAGATTGATTCTTGCACATTTTTGTGGTACTGAGACAGGGCACTATGTTTGTAGCTTAAGGACTGAGAGTTAAGATAATGGGGTGTGTACACTTTGTTCCAGCATATAGAGTTGTTTTTTTTGGTAATTTCAGTCTGTCTGATGTCAGCATGGAATGTACTTTCCTCCCCACAATTAGGAATAAATGAAATATCTGAAGCTGTTTATACTGCAGTAGAACACAGTGACTCTGAAGATTCTGAAAAATCTGACACCAGTGACAGCGAATATAGTGATGAGGATCAGAAATCAAAGAATGATCAAGAGGATGGTGAGGACAAGGAAGGTACAAGAAGTGACAAAGAATCATTGAGCTTGAAAAAAAAACCTAAGCCCCCAGCACAGAATGAAGACAAGGAGGAACTTAAAAGCACAAGTCCAGAAGTGGAGAAAACGGAAGAACCGGTCAAGGAAAAGTCCATTTCAGACACTGAAAAAGAATTTTCTGAAAAGGGAAAAAGTTTACAGCACCCTGCAAAGGAAAAGCTGAAAGGTAAAGATGAAACAGACTCTCCAACTGTGCATTTAGGACTGGACTCTGATTCTGAGAGCGAACTTGTCATCGATCTAGGAGATGATCATTGTGCTCGTGAAGGAAGGAAAAGCAAGAAAGAATCTAAAGAACCTTCTCCCAAACAAGATGGTAGGATGAAATTCTTCCCTTCCTTTTTTTTTTTTTTCTCCTGTTCTGTAAGGCTGTTACCTAAGACAGAATTGTTACCTCTGTTTTTTCATTGAGATAAAAATCTGTACTAAACCAATTTTTAGGAATGATTTTTCATTCTTTGTGACTATGGAAAATGGGCAGGACCCGTCACTTGGCCTCATTGAACTTCCTGCTGTTGTCCCTAGCCCATCAATCCAATCAGTTTGTCAGGATTTCTCTGCAGAGCCTTCCTACCCTCAAGCAGATCAACATTCCCACCCAACTTGGTGTCACCTTCATGTGGTTGTCAATGCCAATTCACCCTTGTTTAGAATGTTTTTAGTGCCCTGTTCCTTCACTTACTGTTCAGTCGTTGATACTTTAGAATGTACTTATCTCCTGATAAAAATTGGGATGACAGGTGTAAATGGGAACCCAAAAATGTCCTATCAAGTGCTAACCTCTCACGTTAATTCAGAGGAGGTCAGGCTGGTTTTTCTGGGTTTTGTACTTTTTGGTTTTGTTTTGCTTAGTTACTGATGCTTCTGAACTGCCACCAACTTCAGCTAGGCTGAAATGACTTTTACTTGTAGCGTATCAGTTACTTCTGAGGAAATTAACTCAAAGCAGACTGGAAGGTATATATGGCTCTTCCAAAAATAAGATGGAGGTCTCTGAATCAGATGTGTTTGTGAAGAGCTGGTGTAACATTTTCTGTTTTGTTTAGTCGTAGGCAAAACTCCACCCTCCTCCAGCGCAAGCACCCAGCCTCTCCCAGAAACTCCAGTACTCACCCGTTCTGCAGCCCAGACCCCCCCAGCTGGTGTGACAGCAACTACCAGCGCTGCTTCCACTGCCAGTGCTCCATCTGCAGCGACAGGGAGCCCCGTGAAAAAGCAGAGGCCTTTGCTGCCCAAGGAAACCGCCCCTGCTGTGCAGCGGGTGGTGTGGAATTCTTCGAACAAATTCCAGACGTCTTCTCAGAAATGGCACATGCAGAAGGTACAGAGACAGCAGCAACAGCAGCAGAGCCAGCAGGCTCAGTCACAGCAGCCTCAGTCCTCTCAAGGGACAAGATACCAGACAAGACAAGCAGTGAAAGGTACACACTTTCTAACCCAATGTGCCTGTGGTGCCGTAATTCCCCAGTAGTGATCTCAGTGCTCCAAGGCTACCCAACCAGGAGTTCTTCCATATAAACAGGTTCTGCTCTGATAAGTGACTTTAAAGTACAGCAGCTTACTCACCATACCTGCTCCTTCTGGTGTGTATTTATAGAGTCATGGCTCTTTATTTTAATGAGGGAAAACTTGTGTGTGTGTCTGTGTAAATATTTTTGCTATTCTTAGCCATCAGGGATTTGGAAGAGCGAACTGAATTACATTCTGGACTGTAAGATAAAACCATTAACTATTCCACTTGCCTGTTTACCACTCAGAATCTACAAATTGCTTCCAGTTTTATCTGACAAGAAGCTGATCTGAATGGTTTTTCAGAGTATAATTTGACGACAATGAAATTACCCAGGCTCTGTTTGTCTTTGAAATCCCTGTTGTTTAACAGGACTTTGATGGTAGTTTACTGAACAAACAGCCCTGGAAATTTTAGAATGTTTTCTCAACCGTTTTCTTACCATCCCTTTGCCTGAGGTTTCACTAAGAGCAGGCACAGGGTAACACAAGCCCATGCTGCTGTTGCTTCACTTCACAGAACAGCAGCTTTATGTAAATTAGCTTCACTCGCAATTTCAAGTTAATAAACTGAAATGTTTACTGCCGTGCCTGATGAATAGACATTCTCCCCTCTGCTGAAACCACTGGTACGCTGGTGACTTCACAGAGAAGAGAGGTTTAGGTAATGGCTCACATACAGATGTTCATCAGAGGCTCATTCCTCTGGTCCCAAACTGCTTTTGGGGCTGCCATTTCAGCAGGGCTGAGGAAGTGGTATCTCCCTGCTTGCAGACTGCACAAGTGTGACACAGAAAAATATTCAGTGAGGAAAAATAAATGTGAAACTTGGTGAAGTCTCATTTTTAATAGAATCCTACTTTAATTCACACCTTAATAATATGGAAATGTCGAAGTCTACCTTATATGTGTGATATTAGTAGGGAGTTCTCCAGATTGAGAGGTCAGGAAGGGGCTTCATGGGAAGTGGGATAGAAAAGTCCAAGGATGGAAGTAATACAGAACTGAGGGAGACTTTTGCACCGACCAGTCTAAAATCACAAGTATTTAAATTCAAAGTTACATTTGCTTCTTTACCTTCAAGCCTTGCAATTATGTACAAGTTCAGTGGCTGGGCACTGTATAATTAATCGTTAGATGGCACCATTGTATAAGTAATGCAAGTCTGAAATGATTATGTGCACACAGTTTAGTTTGATACTGAAGTTAGAAGTTTGCCCATTTATTTTCATAATTTCTTCTGTGATTGATCCACTATTGATCCACTCAATGTTCTCTCTTTTTTTTTTTTTTTTTTTAGCTGTGCAGCAAAAAGAGATCACCCAGAGCACTTCCACATCCACCATAACCTTAGTCACAAGCACTCAGCCTATTTCTATGGTTACCAGTTCTGGATCTGCAAGTACACTTTCTTCCTCACTTAGCACAGACCTGCCAATTGCAACAGCTTCAGCTGATGTGGCTGCAGATATTGCTAAATATACCAGCAAGGTAAGTTCCTGAGTAAGTATGTTCCCCCAGCAAACAATATTTTGTCATCTGTGTTCAGTACATATACAGAGTTGTACTTTTCTTTTAAAGCACTGTATAACTTCATCAGTTGGTAATTTTCATAAATGTGTGTCCATGCATTAAAACAGACACTAAGTTGTTGAAGAGAGGGGGTGATGTAGTACTTGTGTCATGACAGTGAGGGAAGAGACATTGGCTTTCCATATACTTTCTTAGATCTTTAATTTAAAAAAAAAATCAATATGAACACTGTATATTTTTACATTGCATTTCTTTCCCTAATTCATGGTTATATATTTTTTTTTTTGTTCATAAATTATGTCAGTAGCAATTACCTAGAAATGTAGAAGATCAAGCAGTTCACCAGTTTAGGACAGAAAAAACAGTCCTGATCAAAACTGTTGTGTTTTACCTTCTACATAGTTCTCTAAATGTAGACCCAGATAAATACATACATACATACATATATATATATATATAACATTGTTGATAGCAATATAAGCTCACATTAGAGTGGTTGAAAGGAAGTGAAAGTGGGAATCTATTAAAAATATATATTTTTTTTTCTCTCTCAGATGATGGATGCCATCAAAGGAACAATGACTGAAATATATAATGACCTTTCAAAAAATACTACTGGAAGTACAATAGCTGAGGTTAGTGTAACATTAAAAAAAAAAAAAAGCTTGCTTTTTAACTTTTGAAAGTTGCAAATTAGTATTTTTCTTTATAGGTGTAAATAGAAGAGCCATGTAACTATATCTACAAAGTATTATATATATGGAGACTGGCAAGAGATCCTAATTTTCTGTGATATTCAGAACATTTCAGACTTTGGGGCTTGTTATGGTCTTGTCCTCATGTTAATGTGAAGAAGCCTTGATATAAGTGATGATCAGGCTCATTTTTTTGGGCCTGGGTTTTTGTATAATTCTTTGTATAATTATTATTATTGTATAATTATTACAAACCCTCCCTATTACTACTGACTATTAAGTTGTTATTATTCAGATTCGGCGTTTGAGGATTGAGATAGAAAAACTTCAATGGCTGCATCAACAGGAGCTCTCAGAAATGAAGCATAACCTAGGTATGAGATTGGAGTCCAAAACAGTGGGGCAGGTTTTGTCCTACACAGAAGGTGGAAATGCTTGAACTGTGTAGTATTACCTTCATCACATGATGCTACAAATTGTTGACAGAACAGAAAACCTTATTGTAATGTCCTGTGCTGATGTTAGTGCACACCTTTGGAGTCTGAATCCAAAGTTACTTTATCTGTGCATGAGAAGGAACAGGTTTTCAGCCCTCTGAGACAAATTCAGGCCAAGCTTTTGATGGGCAGAATGACTATTTTATACATCATTGGATAATCCCTCTTCATGAGATATTTTGTGCTGATTATTTTGTATTAATTCTCGTAGGAACCAGATTCTGTTAATATAGCCAATTTATAGGTTGTAACTGGCATTTTTGTTCCTATCAGCTGTTGGAGTATAGACTTTATTTATTTATTTAAAGTGAATAGACAACCCTGATTCAGTCTTGGTGCCAGACTGTCAGTGGAATGAGATCAAAATGCTCCCTTAAACAGATAAAAGAATATTCCTCCTAGGAGGGGATTTTCATTTCTCATGCATTTGTTGAGTAGATGTGAAACAGAGATCCCCAAACTCGGGGGATATTTTAACTGTTAGCTGTAATTGTGTTTAAACTCATGAATATTGCTGGTTTGCACCTTGCTGTTGTGGGGTGGGGAGTGCAAACCCACCTTTCTCTGCATTTTGAGCAGAACTGACGATGGCTGAGATGCGTCAGAGCCTGGAGCAGGAACGAGACCGTTTGATTGCCGAGGTGAAGAAGCAGCTGGAACTGGAAAAGCAACAAGCAGTGGATGAAACCAAGAAGAAGCAGTGGTGTGCCAACTGCAAGAAAGAGGCCATCTTTTACTGCTGTTGGAATACCAGCTACTGTGACTACCCCTGCCAACAAGCTCACTGGCCTGAGCACATGAAATCCTGCACGCAGTCAGGTAACGGTGCTCTGGGCTGCCTGCTTCACACCTCAGGGCTTTGGAGGGGGGGGTGGGTACACAGGGACCCCTTTCTTCACCTGCAGGGGTGCCTGTGAGGAGGGACTGACTGGGCTGTTCACAGGAGTAGTAGCTGCTTTCTCTTTTTTCCTTTATTTTAGCTACTGCGACACAGCAAGAAACAGATACTGAAATTAGCACAGAAACACTAAATAAATCATCCCAGCCCAGTTCAAGTGTGCAGTCTACACCCACAGAAACAGCCAGCACCCCTAAGGAAAAGGAAGGTTCAGCTGATAAAAGCAAAGAGAGTGTTACAGTGAGTATCATCACTTCAAACAAAAATAATGTGTTAGGATTTCTCTGAAACCTACCCCTGAAAGCTTCCCTGGATAAGCCAGGAATTTATGACCATTTGCATATTTCAAAGAGTGTGTTTGGGGAGTCGTAGAGAGTTGTGGTTTTTATTCTTCGTCTTGTCAGAAAAAAAAAAAAAAAAAAGTCTCCTTCTGTCCTCTGGGAACACCCTTTCCCTTTCACTTATTCCCAATAAAACCTTGTGTTGGCTTGACTCATCCTTCCAGCCAGAGGGGACTGGACCTCTTTCTCTCTCTCTCTCCAGGATCCATCAGTGTAGCTTCTGGTCTGGATCTTTCGATACAAGTTGCCTTCTGATAAGCAATACTGACTGCAGCACTTCCAAGCCCTTCTTGCCTGGGGGTTCAGAGGCCAAGCTCAAGACCTGCATTCAAATCAACTTACTTTATCACCACAGACTGTCATTAGGGTACCACAATGTTCCATAACACTGATAACAGCAGTTCACCTGGATCTACGGTTAACGGAGCAGTTTCGAAATCCTCCATAGCACCTACTCTCATAGTATTCAGTAGGCAAGGATGAGCAAAATGCTCTAATAAAAGGGACTTAACATTGCATATATAGAAAATGTTTATAGAGAAGATTCTGCTTTATAGGTAGGGCTTGACTATTAGCAATTTCGGCATCATTTTTTTGTTTTTCCTCCCCTTGCAAGATTTATTAAAGGAAAAATTTTAGTGGGGGGAGGGAGGGGGCTGATCCTTCAAACCCTTTACACGTGATCCTCCACATCAGTAGGAGCCTTGATGTATTTTAAAATATTAAAAGCAAACTAATTTTGTAGTATTGTGATTCCAGCATGATGTCTCATTGAGATAGTCCTGTAGAATTGGGAAGCGTAGTAATCTAGAGAGCTGTGTTCATTTCTTGACACTTTTTGCTACTGTCTGGTGTTAGATCTCTGGGCTTGACATGTCACCTAAGGGAGTAACTTGGGGAAACAGATTTGAAGAGGGGGAAAAAAGGCTGTGCTGTTCCACTGGAATACTTTGGTGAAGTTGGTTGAACTCTGGCTCACTCGGTTGATGTTTGTTTGCGTTGTTCTGGCGGCACAAGCTTTGTATTACCGGGGAAATAGGGAATGTGAGACCTAAAGCTTGCCAGGGAATATTCCAGTTGTACAAACCTGGGATTGCTTTCACGTAGGTGTTCTACCTGAAACATCATGCTGTATACATGGATCATGTTCACAGTTTGAATTCTGTTTCATTAACGAAGAAGTGACCTGTGAATTCATTAAGATGCAGATTTTTAATGCAAAGAAAACATCCAGCATAAATTTCATATCGTAATAACACCACCAAGGTGGAATTTATGTAAAGGCTGAGGCTTCTACTGAGGTTGCCATGCCTCTGCAGATAGCAACAGGTGTGACAGGCAACCAGCCTATAAAACTGGTCTAGGTACCGCAAACCACCACCTATATTCCAACAATTCAACCCACAATTGTAAGTAAATCATCATAATTCGAAGTCTGCAGCAGTGCTGTGCCTGGCATTAAAATTGCCCAGTATCTCTGGGGGGTTGTCTCTGTCTGCTCTTCTATCAAGAGATGAATTCACTGGTACAGTCTCGACTTGCAGTGCAAAATGTTTTCTTTTGCTGTGCAACATTCCACCCCTTCATTCCATTCGTGATTGCAAGGATCCAGAAATCATTAAGTCTGGTGAAGGCACTGAGGACAGGCAGATGCCATTTCACGTTATTGGTTCATTTCATGTATATACTTGACCACATCATCGATGTAAATATATAGAATTCATTTTAAATATCTTTTAAATATCTTTTTTTGTCTATGGTATCCTAAAGAGATTTAATTATTTCTGAGCTATGCTTGATATTCCTGTGACATCTCAGTACCTATAAAAGAGAATATGCATTTGTCAGCAGTGTCTCTGCCATGGAGTCTTGCACATTAGTGTGATGAGAAATCGCATTGGAATCAGACCTTTTTTTTTTTTTTTTTTTTTTTCATCAAAGGCTTAACCAAGGACACTTGAATTCCCTAGTGTCAGTCACAGGAGATGGGACAGAAGTGAGTTTGATTTTTGTATTCTGTGCACCATAATAGCCCATTATTTCAGCTGACTGTGCTCTGCAGGGCTCATGTCAGTCAGTGTGGCCCGAGCTGGCACTGCCCCGGTCACTGTGCTGCCTCAGGTGGGGTTCAGCAGGGGAGCCCACGTGTGGGGAACATCAGTTCATTTCTGACTGCAGTCAGATGATTTATAACAGTAACTATGTGCTATTTTAACAGTTTAACAGTATTTTAACAGTGTACCGTAACCACACTGTGACTGGGAGGCCTGATGTGCTGTCCAAGTTCCCTCTCTGTCTCTCTCCTCGTGCACACCCCCACCAGCTGCAGGACACACCCCTGTGTGTGTGCCAGTGAATACACCGCATGCACGAGGACAGAGAGTGTTCCACAGTCATCCAATTCCACACCAACTTAGTGGGGATCGTGCTCTTAGTGGGGATCCTGCCATCCCACACTCCTCACAGCATTTTAACTCCGCTCACTTGGTCTCAACTGAGAGCACTGTGCACCTTTGCAGCATTGGCCCTGAGTTGCTTGGACTGAACTACCATTACCAACAAGGTTTTATATGTGTTTTATAAAATCCAACAGCAGACATCCAAGACATTAGTTTTTTGGTGTTTTGGATTTTTTTTTTTTGTGTGGTTTTTTTTTTTGTGTTTTGTTATGTTTTGTTTTGGTTTTGGTTTTTTTTGTGAATAGCTGTGAGACTGTAAGATCCTAAGATGGTTTTGTGTAATCAGAAAAATGGCAGTTCCTTTTCTACTTTTCATCGGTTTTCTGTAACGCAAAGTGTGCTGAGTTGTGCAAAGCAGAATGGGAAGGTCTGAAAGGTTTCCAACTTTATTTGTGCATGTTTATAACTTTGTACACATTTGCATTAGTCTTGCACAGCGACAGACACCTCTGTAATTCTGATGACTGCACGTGCAATTTAAGTGATTTTAAACCTTAGTGCATGTTTTAATATGTATGCAAAATGTACATATGTGTAAAACTGGCAGAGGTGGAAAATTTACCTCTCAGGGAATGATCTTAACACATGTAAGGAGTCTCGCACATTCCATATTCCGATCGCGCTAAGAACTGAAACGTAAAATTATCTTCATGTGTGTAAGTGTGTGTATTTAAAAGGCAACTGTGGCAAGTTTCCCCACCTCTAGTACTGACAGTGACTTATTCCATAATGGCTTCTTTAGGGTTCAGTTTGCACTTTGTGTCCAACGAGGAATCCCTTCCTCTGAGCAACTCCCAGTGCATCTTCTGGGTACCATTTCCATTGAACCCCGTGTGCTCATCTGAAATCATTACAGAATGGCAGCAATCTGGGATTTGTTTAGAAAATCCGTTCCATGTTTGGTTTTGATTCTTCCTGCAGTTAAAATAATGTAAAAATATGAGTCCATCGTCTTTGCATTCATTCCAGGGGACGGAATGATTAGGCTTCTGGAAGGCACAGACTCTGTCTTTGTGGAATACTGTTGAGACACTCGTGTGGTTTCTTGAATCAGTGTGGGGAGACATTGGGCTTCACCGAACTTGTGTTTCTTCTTCCGTGTTCTCTTTGGAATGTCACACTACCACTGGGGGAAGATCTGTGCATCCCTTTCAGGTTCCTCAGAGTCTCCCTCCCTGTCTCTTCCACGAGGTGTTGTGAACTGAAATGGATGCGTTTGTCTGATCAGCAGTCGTGCATCACTGGAGTCGTATCGGAACGTACTCGCAGTTTGTATGGTAGAGACGTTTCTAGACTTTCTCACATTTTTTTGGAGGAAGGCTAAGATACAGACTTAAGGTTCAATAAATCCTTTTACAGATCTTCCAGAGTGATGTGACCTTGACCAGATTGTTTAACATTCTTGTGCCTTTGTCTCTGCATCTGTAGAATCAATTACCACCTATAGAGATGTCCTGAAACTCCATTTGTCGAGATGTATAAATCATGATCTGTATGATGGAAGTGAAAAGTTTATTCTATATTAATATTTTTACAGGGTGTGTAAGACAGTTCCCAGTAATGCTGATGTTTTTGCTATTGATTTGTGCAAAAGTTAACTTAAGTACTTTTTTTTTTTTTTTGTTCAGATGGATGTTCTTTGTTCTCTTCTGTGTAGACTGAATGCATGGGGGAAACAGTTCCTTTTGGGGAAAAAGATTTAAGTAATGTGTAACAAGAATATACTTATAAACAAGGGTATTTTTGTACTCCAGTTTGATTTGTCAAAACTTTTTCAAATGACAGAGGATTTTCTTAGCCCTTTTTCCTCTTCCCATGTGTTAGTTTGCAGAAAATACGTAACTGGATGTAATTCTGAAACCCTCACTCTCCAAGCACAGCCAGTGTGTACAGTCCCTATAGCACCTCCTGTCCCTGTAATTCTGTAGCAAGTAACGGGAACACAGAAAAACTCTTGGCTATAGGGAACTTAAAACACTCCTTTCTCCCCTGGAACGAGGTAACACTGCGGTAATAAAGGTATTAGTTCTTGCACAAAATTGGCACTTGTTCTGGATTTCCCCTGGAAAATAAATCTCTATTTCTGTGGTCATGTTTATGTGACCTTTAACATAACAATCTGTTTTCTCTCTTGGTTTTAATCCACAGACCATTCCTGTAGTGGTAAGTCCTTCTGCTGGGACAGTGTATGTTCAGACCACAATGCCAGTCCAAGTGCGAAGAGTCTAACTGCTCACAAGAAGTCCATACAATTGTTGGAATAAATAAGTCTAATAGAAATGTGAAAAAAAAAAAAATAAACACAGTTCTTTGGATTAACCTCAAAGGTTCAGACTTTAGCTTTGTGTACGTGTACAAAGCATTAATTACACTACATTAATGTAAAGCATTAGTGCTGGCTTAGAAAAGCTGAGGACAGGTAAGATCCATATTAAATCTATGCTTCTTTTGTAAATAATGTACAATTTGTGGATGTCATTAGAGTACCATCTCCTTTTTATATTTGTATTGACTTTAACTTATAAAGAGTGTTTGAAGTTGGAAAAGGAAGGTTTTAAAACAGCCTTATCACAACCTAACGCTGAAAACTGGTCTTGGGAAACTGCAGTTGTGCATCAAATAATACTAAGAATCTGAACATCTGTCTTTGCATTTGGATTGAAAAAAATTTTTCTGCACTTTGAAGCTCTTGTAGAATTGATTTGAACAACCAAGTGATGAAGGACACCTTTTTTCAGTTGACTGCATCAGGCAAATTATGACATTTCGAATCTGTGGATCTGAAACGCAAAGATTTACATTGTTTTTCATAATGACCAGACTGACAACAATATAAATGTTGTTTACAGGTTAAAATTGATTTAAAACTTCAGGCTAAGATCAGAAAAGCTGGAAAGTGTAACAGCAGCTGGTTGTAGAATGATTTCTGATCACTGGTATCAAAGACTGAGGAAAAGTAAAATTTGTTCCCGTGCTTCACAGTTTGCTTATTTTTTAAAAAAAAATTCTCCCGAAGGACTTCGAACAAGAACCAGGCGTGGGGATAAAACACGGATCAGGAAACGTGGGCAAAGGACTTTGGATGCTGGGCCAGAGCATGTCTTATTTATATGATGGCATTTCTGTTTTTCTGTAAGCATGAAGCAGTGCAGTGTGAGAGGAAAGCACCCCCTGCAGATGCTGTTTGTTACACTGAGGCTGTAGTCCCGTTTTGTATGTTGTGTAAAACGGAAGCATTGAACAAAGCAAAAGGTGATGTATGTATATGAGAAAATTAACTGTATGATATCATTCCAGTACATTCTGTTGTACATTTTTTAGTCATGTTGATTTCTCCCATTGTTTATATAAGAATGCGGTTTGTACAGTCTCCAGCTAGTCCCCAGATTAGAGGGAAAAAAGTATTAGAAGAAGAAGGAAAAAAAAAAAAAAAAAGGTGAGAACAGAATATTCATTAATTGCAGTTGTGTCAAAACTAGCCTAGCTGGCCTTATTTGTGAAGCATAATTGCTTTTAGCATATGGAAGTATTTTTTCACATTTTCTTTGTATAAAATTTGTATTAAACTTAAATATCTTTTTTGACAATTGTGTTTCTTTGTGACTTGAGACAGGTGACACACACAATATGCTTTGGGTTTCTCCGGTTTTCCAAGAAACGTCACAATTTTTTTATTAAACTGTTTTAGAAAAATGCTCTGTGTTCCTGGATTTCCAGTTTTGGTTCAGTCTGGAGGAATGTTCACTTCTGCACAGTCTCCAGATCACAGGTAACATCACTTACCTGAGCATCTTCTGTCTCAGAACACCTGCCAAATCTGAGCTAAAACAAAGCAGCGGTGACATTCTGTAAATAGGAAGCCATTTATGTGTAAAACTCAGCAGGAGACGTTTTCTCTCAGCTTTAACAGCAGCAAAGGTCCATCACTTGTTGAGTAACATTTCTTCACTGGCTGGATTGGGGTTGGACTGATAACAGGTCATTGTTAGGTGGATTTGGGAGTTAGAGATGGGGACTGTCACGGTGAGTGCAGTTGTAGCCCTCTATCAGGGCATGAATTTTCTTACAGCGAGAAAACCTTGAGGAAAAAAAAAAAAATTCCATCACACCTGAGAGCAGGAACACCTCTGCTAGAAAAGTGACACTTTGGATGGAGTTGTGCTCTTTACAAACCCCTCAAAGCAGGTACTGGGGTTTGGTTTTGGCCCCCGACACACAGGGCTGACGTGTCCCAGCTGCCTTCTGAGCCAAAGACTGAGACTGGATTAATTTAAGATCAGATTTTCTGCTTTAGTTTGGCAGAAAATCCCCTCTCGGTGGGGTTTTTTTTTCTAAATGTTTTCATTGAGATTAGGAGGATCCCTCAGGCTTGTGTAGCACTTGTGTCGGATCTGTAACTCGTGCAGGCCTTACTTGTTTGATCTCATTAGATGAGGGCGTTGTAGCACTTGCTGCATCTCTGCCACCTGGTTCCAGCGAGGCTTTGATCCTCCTGAGGTTGTCTGGTGCCACAGCCAGCAACAATCAGCAGTTTTCAAAATGAATGAGAGATTCATTCAGAGAATTAAAATGTTTTGGCAGCAAGATTGACAGCCCAGCCTTGAAACATATTCCACACATACCTCTAGATGCAGCAGTGGTGGCACAAAAGGCAGGTAATCTAGTCCCCAAAAAAATGTAAACATGTTTTTATTTAATGCCTTTCCACTCATCACAAGGTACTTTTTTTTCCCCCCCCCCCCGACCCCAAGACGGCAGCGTAAGGCACCGTGCAGACACGTGCAGGGTCCTCACACCATCCTGGCAGGGCTCAAAAACACAGCTACAGTTCTCACCAGCAGTACCATGTGTCCTTACTGCTCGTGTACACAAGATGATTCTCCCCCAGAGTTCGTTCTGGAGAAATGAACGATTAATTTAGAACAGTTAAGACTTTCCCCACCCACCCACCCGCCCCGAAAAGCCAGATTAAAAACACAGGTACAGAGCTTAATACCAGAGTAATGAGATTAGTTCATAAATTAAAAAAAAAAAATAGGAAAAAACAAAACAATTTCACTCTTATTTTCAGAAGGTCCCAGGTGATGTGATGGACTGTGCAGAGACTCCTTGCTGTGTCCTCTTCCCCTTTCAAAACCAAGAAAGCTGACAGGGAGGGCCTGACTTGCAGCGTTTGCTGTTGATGGCAAAAAGGCCATTAGAGCTCTGTGCCTCCAACTGAGCCAGCAACTGCAGCATCCCAGCGACTGAGCAGAAGGTTTTTCCTCTGTCCAAAGGAAGGAGGACTTGAGACAATGTTCTTTGGCTGCAAGTTCTTTAAAGGCTTCCACTGAAAGGGTTCTCCTTCAAAAAAAAGAAAAACTGCAGTTGCTGTGGGATTTTTTTTGTTGTTGTTGTTTGGGTTTTTTTTAACTGAGAAAATGCTGAGGAATAGGTGGAACCGCTGTAATAGTCTGAGTGAAGCCCTCCCAGTGCTAAGATGTTGGGGTTCTGCTACAAATATTCAAGTTCCAAGGCGTGCCGAAGAGCTTCCAGGTCAGCGTGACAAGAGATTCTCCAGAAGGGCATGTTGTGCTAGAGTGAAACCAAAAGAGGGGATTTTTTTTTTTTTTTGGTTTTGTTTTTCCGTATTAATACTGAGATCAAAACAACTTGCTTAGTTTGCACCCTCAGGAACAGAGCTTTGTGCTTGGCCACCAGGTTGTGACGGTGCCACAGGCAAGAGGCTCATCTTAAAGGGGAGGGAAGGGACAGAGGGAGGGAGTGGGAAGAGTCTCTTTTTTTGCTGCTCTGTTCCTCCTCTGCAGACAGGAGGACATACATAGTCACAATTTAGGAGTCTCCTGCCTCACAAATGATGGAGGATGGGAGCTCACTTTCTGAATGTTCTGACAGCACTTAGTCCCTTCCAGCATGGGAATAACACTCCTGAGAGTCTTTCAGCACTAAGAATTCACCTGTAACCACCCTGCTTCTGGATAAACAGCTTCCACAAAGCTTCAAAGAACATCTACTTCCTAGATAGATGACTCTGATGGAGATGTTCCTTTTCCAGTTGTACTTACTCCTGTACAAAAAAACTCCCAGTGGTTCCAGATGTTTATGTAACAGAGGGTCTAATGTTTAAATAAAACTCAAGCTTCCCTCTGTATGTTGCCTATCAGTAAACAAATCTTTCCTTCAAGTTATTTATCAGTGTGTTTAGAGAGAGCAAGCAAACCCAGACAGCTGAAGTGACTGAAATCCTCTGCTCTGCAATTTCACTCAGGGGGAAAAGTTATTTCCTTCTCCCTCCCCTGGTTGCTATTAAACCCCTTCCATTTAATTATCTATTCTTCTTAAACCAGAAGAAATCTTGGCCTCCCAGCCCCTCCTGTTGTCCAGCAGTTACAGATTTATCACTCATCAGACAGGTGAAGAAAAATGACCCCCAGAAGTGGAGATATTATCAGTGCTGTTGGCAGACCAGCGAAAGGCCTCTGCCTGTCCCCTCCCTTTCTTGTTTGTTTTTTCCCCTGTATAAAACTCAGGTGTGTGGAAGCTTTGATTAATGAGTGCCATCAATCAAAGGAGGTGACAGCTCAGCAAAGAATGTGCTTTACTAATGGGAGAGCTGCTGAGACAGGAGCAAGAGGCTCTTGGAATCCTGGCACAGGAGGCTGGTGAACCTTCCCAAATTCCCATGGAGGCAGAGAGCCCCTGCAGCCTTTGATGGAGTCCTGGCCACTGACCCACTGCCTTTGAAGTGTGGCACTGAGGTGTCACAAGCAGCAGCCCATTACCACTTCAGCCCCAGTCATGCATTCTGGACTCTTCCCTGACAGCTCCTTAACCCTTCATGAACTGCAGAACTATCTGCAATTTGAGCCAGTTTTCCAAAGTGGGTCCAGATATTGTTGCTTCTGCTGACCACTGTGAAAAACAGGGTTTCTGCTGCACTGGAGGCAACCTGAGATACAGTTCTGGGGACAGAACACGTGCCCATCACCTTCTTTGCTGGCATCCCTTTGCTCCTGGGTTTATGCAACCAAAAAAGCCCAAATTTGCTTGGGAAGTCTTTGCAGGATCTTCAGTCAGAATGTGACACCAGCACAAGGTTCAGCTGTGTAAGCTGAGCTCCTGTGATACGATATTTCACACCTCACGTGAGCTACACCATTATGAGTTTGCTGAAGATGGGGCTCACACAGTCAGCTGAGCATCCCAACTCCCTTGCAACGCTCCCAAAGCAAATGCAGCTCCAGCACACTGCTGCAGCCACACCAGGAGCACGAGACCCAGGATGCACAAAGACACCTTGCAGATAACAAATTGTGTTCCTGTCCCTGCAAAGCCAAATAAATGCCCTTCACAGACTGTACCTTTTTTGCTCCTTGTTCCTCTTCGACACCGTCTCCTATTACAACGTACACGGCTTTCCTTCCAAACCTCTGCATTATCCTTTCAAAGCAGCTCTCTTTCCCTAAGCAACACAAGAGAAGGCACAGTTTTTTTCATCAGGACACACACTGCAAGGCAGAGCTGACATTCAGGTGCTGGACATTTCAGCCTGTCTTTGGTGAGGCCTAAGTCAGTTTGCTCTTACCTGTTTTTGTTGCACTGTAAATGTTTTCAATGGGGAAGACAGTGCCCAGTCCATAGAGAAGCACTTTAGCAAGAGCTGGTATGAGCTGAGTTGTGGTGACCAACACATTCACACAGTTGGGCCTGGAAAACAAAAGCAGTCATTAGAAGGGGCAATCTGTGTTTCTCTCTCGCACTCTGGACTGAAAGATGGTGGGAAGCAAACCTTTCCTGCCACTGGAAGTTCCCAAGCCAGTGGGGGATTATGCAGAGCCAGAGGCAGATAATGTGAGTACCAGAAATGCCTTTTGATCAGCTCAGCAGAATGAAAAAAACATAACCCAAACTAGCAGTGGTGATGCAGCCTTACTGAACACTTGCCAGGATCTATCTGGTGGGAAATTAAACACCACCAAGTAACGTCCTGTGTGCTGGGATCTCTTGAGCGAAGGTGTTCAGGGACAGAAGGGCTCTTTTCTCCCTTCCCTCCTTTGTAAATCTGCTCACACAGAAAAAGGTGCCACAGATGAGAGAGCCAAGGAAAAGGCAAGGAAAAGGCCAGTTTTTCTTTTGCTCAGTTCATCATCCCAAGCTCACCCCAACCCCTGATAATTCAAGCCTGGCAAACATGTGCAGGCTGGCCTCCCACAGGCTCGGCTGGCCAAGTCCTATGAATGTGTCCCCCATTTGTTTAGAGGGGGGAAAACAAGGGAAGCAAACCTGGATCAAACCTGTGGGCAATCCTTTGAGCTGCTCTTACCGGGAATGTATCAAATTCAGCGCCTTCAGAGCATGTGTGAGCCAGAGATCAGTCAGCGCCTCCAGTTCTGCTCTCAACTGCAGCCAGGTTTCCCTCTTAGGAGCTCCTATTAAACCTGTGGGCAGGGAAAGTGTCTTTGCAGAAGCACAGGAAGGGAAGTGCGTGGATTTGTAAAGCAGAACGCCAAAGGGCTCCTGCCCGTGCTCGGAGCTCTCCCGGTGCCCATCCCTCGCTCGTGGGCGCTGCCACACAGTTCCTGGGCTGCAGCAGCTCAGCTCCCTCCCTCCCTGGGGAAGGGTTCAGCCAGCCACAGGCTGCAGGACCTCCCTGGAATGCCTTCCTTGGAGGGAGCACAAAGCTCCCAAGGCAAGTGAGCAAGAGGATGGGAGGAGTGGGTAATGTGGGCAGTGAGCTGGGCAGAGAGACACCTGAGGCCAGGGTGGTTTTGTTTCTCCTGAAAAGCCACGTCCCATTAACAGCACATGTGGGTAGGCTTGTCCTCCAACCAAAAAAATAGGTTGTGGTGATACTCTGAGTCTGGCTTCTTTCTAATCAGAGACCTGCACTGATGTTCTGAAAGAGAAGCAGAGCAGCCTTTTGGAAGAGTTGTCTGGACTAGGTGAGATGAAGGAAGGAACCTCAGGGCATCCTGATATCTGGTGGTATTGTTTTGGGGGAAGTTAAAAACAAACAGTTATGACACAAGAATGCCTCAGACAGAGACCAGCCGTGGGTTCTGTGGAAAAACAATAATATTTAGTTTTTCCACTGTTTGCTTGCTTACTAAACATTCTGCAAAATTGGAGAAGGTTGCTTTTCCTGCCCAATAAATCACAAAATAAAGCCCCACACTCGCCACTTGAGCCCCCCTCGGACCCCTAAACCGGGTATTTCAGTGTGGGTCCTGCAAACCCTGCACAGAGCCGTGTTAAAGGATGCCTGAGTCACAAGTTTTTTTGGGGGAGGATGAAAGGCAGGCTGGGACAGACACTCACCCCCCACGTTGTTTTTGTAGGTGTTGTACATTTCTTTCACCCGACGGTAGCGAAAGGCCAATTTCCTCATCCAGTCGACTCCCCCGTGAACTCCCGAGCCCAGACACAGGTTTGCACTGGCAGTGGAGCTGTGGAAGCCATCTGCAGAGAAGTTATACGTGCTGGGAGAGGGGGGGAGGGAAGGGGAGAGGTCAGTGTAATTACAGGCTGTGCAGCACCAGCAGGGAGGGGAGACAACTGAAAAGAAAGGTGGAGACAAGTGGCAGCAGAGACACACACACACAGGACATGCTGTACAGTTCATCTGGAGAACAATT